GTTGCTTCTGTTTTATGGTTCAAATAATGGTTAGAAGTAGATTTTGATATGTGAAATTGCAATTTTGCGTTCTTGGAGTCTGCGTATATGAACTGTTAGAGAAAACAACGAAAGAAGTGCTTCGATGTTGATATAAACCTAAAAGTTATTTAATCGCTTAGCCGCCTTATGACCTTGAGTGACTGTCGTTATGCACTGTCCACTGAGTGAAACTGTCATCTAAATCTCCCAAAAACTTCGCAATATGACGCATCAGCATATTATGAAGAAAACACATAAAAACGAAAATCCCGAATAAAATGAAGACATGGCTAAAAGACAAGCATCCAAGTCAAAATGTTAATAAATAAAAAACCGTAAATTAGGGATGATCGATGTTGCAGAAACTTCGATGATGGCATCAATGTTGATATCGATAGCATAACATGGATGTTCAATGCTTATTATCCTACTCAAAACATCGATGTTGGCCATTAGCGATGTTGCACATATACTTATTTTAAATTAGGTTTTTTTAAATATATATATATATATATATATATATATATATATATATATATATATATAAATAATTAGGTTAAAATTAGTCGAATGAAAAATTTGTAAGGTTGTTTATGATTTATCATTAATGAAGTAAAAGAAATTAACACTCATAAATCCGGCATGAAAAAATAGGCAATTTGACCTTATTTACGTTTTTGACATAGGTTTCTTATCAACTACTCCTAACGCGAAATAAAAAATGTGATTACAGAAAAAAATTAACGAACTACTCAAAAACAAAATAACAGACTTTTTCGTCACCTTTTTTGACAATTATTAACCAGGCAGCCCGAGCAGTAAATATACATAGCCGTTTATAAAATGTACTAATCGGCATGCCCATAAAGTATGACATTGACAGGTACTGTCTTTACTACTAAGAAATTCAGGACTTCATAGGCGTGATTTTTACTGACAGCTGTCGCAGAGATCAAGCTATCTTTTATGAACTATAATGAAACATTGTAAAGTAAAAACAAAATTCAAAAAAATCTGGTAGTACATCAGACCCCGTCAATTTTAGACTAATTTCAGTACTATCAAATTTAAGTAAAATTTTTGAAAAAATTATTTTACATCAGATGATAAGTTTTTTTTTTTTTTTTTGATAAAAATAAATTTCTCCATACAAGTCAATTTGGTTTTACAAGGGGTAGCTCGACAACCGATGCCGGAGTTGAGCTTATAAAACATATTTTTTTGTGCATGGGAGAATTCGGAGGATGCTTTTGGGTATATTTTGTGACCTTTCCAAGGCCTTCGACTGTATTCACCATGAGACATTAATCAGGAAGCTACAGTACTATGGTGTCAAGAACACAGCGCTTGAACTAGTTATTTCATATTTAAGTAATAGATTGCAGAAAGTTGTTGTCAATTGTAAAAGGTATTCCGGATGGCCCCTACAGATGGGTGTCCCTCAGGGCTCAATTCTTGGCCCATTCCTATTTTTTAGTGTATATTAATGACTTGCCCTCCTTTGTAGGGGACAATCATGATATAGTATTATTTGTTGACGATACTTCCTTGAATTTTAAACTTAAACGTCAATCATATAAATGTGATGAAGTGAATAGTGCTATATCGAAATTAGTGTATTGGTTTAACGTTAATAATCTACATTTAAACGGCAATAAAACTAAATGTATTAAATTTACAACAACAAATGTTAATAATCCGAGTACCAATGTGTTTTTAAATGGGGAAGAACTAAGTCCTGTTGAGTCCTCTGTTTTCTTGGCATCACTCTCGACGCTAAGCTTCAGTGAGGCCCCCATATATCTAAACTAGCAAGCAGACTAAGCTCTGCAGCTTATGCTGTAAAAATAATTAGAGATCTCACTAGTGTCGAGACAGCTAGATTAGTTTATTTTAGTTATTTTCATAGCATAATGTCATGAAATTTTGCTATGGGGGAATGCGGCTGATTTAGAAACTATATTTGTTTTGCAGAAGAGGGCCTTTAGAGCTATTTACAATCTTAAACCGAGAGAGTCTCTTAGAGGAAAATTTAAAGAAATAAATATATTAACTTTGGCCTCTCAGTATATCTATGAAAATTTGATGTATGTTCACAAAAATAAAGGTAGTTTTAGTAAAAAAAGTGACATACACTCTGTAAACACTGGGAACAAACACAAGCTGGTGCTACCAGTTTCTCGACTCCACAGAGTCAGTAATTCATTCTTGGGGCAATTTATACGCTATTACAACAAAGTCCGAGAAAATATGAACAATCTTACTACAAAAAAGCATTTAAACACTGGTCCAACATATGTTTAGTTAGACACGGACTTAAATGATAAACACATGTTAAACAATGGTTTAAATTTCGTTACCACTAAACCGTTTTCAACGCGTGCCTCTATAGACAACGTTTAACTTTATTCTCCAGGTTACACTGCAATACATTCGTTCAACATTCAATCATTCGTTTTGTTTTACGGGAATAAATACGAATAACTACGTAAAAATTAAATTTTGTTTTGTCTCCAAAGTTCGATAATAAAAAAGATATATATATATATATATATATATATATATATATATATATATATATATATATATATATATATATATATATATATATCTTTTGTATATATTTATATGTATATATCTATATGTATCTATATCTTTTGTTAAATTTTCATGAGTTATTTTATTTATGAACAAAACAAATAAAATTGCTAATAATAGGCAAACATACAGGCTGATGGGTGAAGCTATTCTTCTCTACCGACGCCACACGCAAGCATAATTTAATTTTGTATGAATCGAACTTGATGACGAGCCCAGTACCGTAATGCACAAGTCACTTGCACTGCTGGATCTATTGTGTTACCACGAGAATCACTTACGATATCGTCTTTCACAAGATCTAATATTTTACTAGCAAAAAGTTTGCTGAACCCACATTTTTCTTAAACTTGGCGTCGTCGTATTTTTCAAACGTATTAACCCTCACACGAACCGTATTACTTTCTCGGAACATTTCCGCATAGTTATCCATGTCGTCTTCATCGAAGTAATGAACAAAATCAATTATATCCATGTTAAATATAAATACTGAACTGACGGGAAGATAGGTTAAACACTAGTTAAACAAGGGTTTGCGGCTGTTTAATTAAACAACGTCTAAGCCGTATCCGTCCATAAAATACCGTTAAACACTCTTTTGTAGTAACCAATTTGCTAAATACGTGTTGAACAGATGTCTAACTTTTTTGTACTAAGACAGACGAGGTCTATCTATTACCAAGTTTAAATATTAAATTAAGCAAAAACTGTATAAAAAGGGCTATTATGATATAAATAAATACATGGTTGATTATAACCCCTGAGAATGAGGTGGTCGCTTCCGAGCTGTTTCTAAAATAAATTTTGTAAATATTGTGACCCTTGACATTGTAAAATTTATTTTAAAAAAGGCCCGCTGGGTTTTTTGCTGGTTCTTCCCAGGACAGAGGTTTTTTTTCGAACCAGTGGTAACGTAAAATATTGACTTTTAATAAGAATTACTTGTAATCTATATTGAATAAAAAAATTATTCTATTCTAATTATATCGCTCTGTGATTTATTTTCATAACCTTCAAGAAAACAATAAACTCGTTATGATACGCTGAAGAAAGCGGCTACTTATAGTTGAATTGTGTAGATACTTCCATTGGTTTCATAATTACGTGGATGTAGACAGCAAGTGAAATGACAATTAAATTTTTCTTTACTAACTGGATTTACGGCTCTGGGTTCTAGCCCTTCTGAGCCTATCATTTTTTTCGGAGTCTTCATCTATATTATTTTTCTTCACAATATGCTGATGCGTCACATTGCGAAGCCCTTGAGGGGATTTTGACGACGGCTTAACCCAACGGACAGTTGATGACGACACCCACTCAAGTTCATGAGGCGCCCAAGCGATCAAAATAACTTGAGGTTTATATCGACATCAAAGCACTTGTTTCGTCGTTTTCTCTAATAGTTCACACGCGCAGACACTTAATTCACAAAATCACATCACTTTTACGAATTAAAATCCACTTCAAACTACTATTAAAGTGACAGTTCGTCGACGGCTAAACTCCGAAACTCCGACACTTAACTTGAATATCAATTTACGTAGAATAGTTATTACGTTCATAAAAGATAGCTTGATCTCTGCGACAGCTGTCAGTAAAAATCACGCCTGTGAAGTCCTGAATTTCTTAGTAGTACAGACAGTACCTGTCAATGTCATACTTTATGGGCATGCACTAATTAGGTCGTCATGCCCATAAAGTATGACATTGACAGGTACTGTCTGTACTACTAAGAAATTCAGGACTTCATAGGCGTGATTTTATTGACAGCTGTCGCAGAGATCATGCTATCTTTTATGAACTATAGGCGAAAACCTACAACATCACTACAGAACAACAAGCGAAAGAAGTGTCAACTGTGACATTACATTTCACACTTGAAAGTAAAGTTTGACATAACATAATGATATTTTTTAAGGTGATCGATGGGTTTAGGAATTCTAAATAGTTAAAAATTTTAAACTCTTAATAGTAGATACAAGATTTATAAAAATTTTCATAGTTGATATTTTGCGGGTTCGCATTGTCCACAAGTTCTTATTAAGCGATTGTGGATTCATTGATATCGATGTTTCGATGTTTGACATGTGGCAACATCGATGTTAAAACCGATGTTTTAATTTTTAACATCGATGATCATCGAACATCCCTACCGTAAACGCAGTTAGACATTTTAAGTCTGTCGTTGGTAATGCGTTTCCAAAAAAGAATTTTGTTAAAAAATGTTTAAACATATTAGTAATATAACAGAAAAGGTCTATATTTATTATAGTAAAATAAATTACTAGTTACACCAAAATTACGTTCACTATTGGTTAACTGCAAAAATTCGATGTTCGTTCTGTCATTGGTAACACGTTTATAAAGATTTTTGTACAAAGATGTTTAAAGATGATAGTGTGAACAGCAGAAAAGGTATTTATTAAGTAAATTAAAGTACTAAGTTCAAAATTATTGTATTATTAATTTTATATCAGGTTATGTGTTACTGTGAATACTTCTGATTTATATTCAAATTCCTGCTAAGCTAAGTCCTATAGCTTGTTATAAATGTTTTAATAAACTACTAACATAACACAGCTTATCAATAGTTCACTGCTGAATATAGGCCTCTCGCATTAAGTGGTCACATAGAGGCCGATGGATTTTCTTAGCTGCCGCTCCTGACAAACAGCTTGGCAACTGTAGTTTTTATTTTATCATGCAGATGCTCCTGCCTATCTCCTGTTTCAATTGTCTGTTGTCTCTTACAATAGTCACTGGATGACTTGGTTTGTAGTAGACTCTTTTACCCTGTATCTATGTTACAATTATCATCCTACCCACTAGTTCTATTTTATTTGTAAGAAAGTAAGAGGCCTTAATATTTTCTCATAATAATTTTTCATATTCTTTTTATTTAAGATGGTAGTAGAGAAGAAATAAACCCAAGTGCTTTGCAAGGAATTGTTACTTCACTGAACTGCCGGACTATTAGAATCGGATCATATAGATATACACCAAAAGAAAAGGTATGTGATATCCAAATTCGGTCAGTGTGTAAATAAAATTTAGGGATGTTTTTCTACTTAAAAACAATTTGATTAAATAATATAACATTTTACAATTTTTTTCAGGTTTACATATCATCTAAAGGTATTAAAATAGTGGCACCCTCTCTCAAAAATGAATCGAGAGAGGTGGCACTACAAATACAGTTGAAAGAAGTTGTAAGAATATTAGTACATTTTGGAAAAGGACTACCTGTTATTTTTTTATATACCATGAGTAAATGTGGAGTATACATAAGAAAAGCATTAGATATGACTGAAGAATCAGGTAAATAATCTTAGTATACCTATCTTAACTTATAAAATGATTTAAAAAAAATCTTATAATCTGTTTTGCTTCATTTGGTAGAGTCATGCTGCCTGTTAATTACAAACACAGCAAAAGTTGTCTTGGTTAATTGACAAAATACCTTAATTTATATTAAATAAAAGTATTCTATTCTATTGTATGAGTTACCATTACAGCCTGTTAAAAGTCCACTGCTGAACATAGGCCTCCCCAATAGATTACCTCAAAGATGGGATATTTGTCATAGTCAATTTTTATTTTTAGTTGTTATCAGAAAGATGCTGTTGCCCATCTTCTGGTATGTGTCTCTGTGCGGCCTTTTCATATGTATAATATGATAAGATGGAGTAGTGGATATTCTTATGCCACTATGTCACAGTTAATAAATTATGAACACAGTTTATAAAATTAAATTTATATTTTGTCGTTTTTGTACTTTAATTCAAATAAAAACTTATAAGGGAAAATCGCAAACCATTTGTGTCACAATTCTAAATCAAAATAATAATTACTAATTTAATTATATCCGGAGACCCTTTTTTACAGGAACGAGGAATTCTATCTTAGTTCTCAGAGGTAACAACGCATCTGCATTTTGATTCTTAATCAAGGATAAATGTGGACTGTGTGCTTGTTCGTCACCCTTATTCTATAAAAAAAAGCCTTTGAGTATAACCCAGCTTTGATCTGCTATCTTAAAAATTTACATTAATCTAGCTTGTGCTTAGCTCAAACAAAGACGATAAGAAGCAGAATCTTGAGAGCTACTCACTAAAATTAAAAATTTTGGAAACATTTAACACAAAATAGAAACATTTAAATGGTGCTGACTTCAGGGCCTTTTACTCCATTAAACTATCATAACATCAAATAAATGGTAGCTTTCTAGATAATGATCTCTTAGATCAGACTGATAATTTGTTTATGTTCAGAATTAATTAAATGTCAATATGTAAATAATACCTACTTGTAATTAATTGACATTTGTCTAACCAATAATAGTTGTGTCACTTATAATCTGATAGGTGGCATTGATTATAAACCTGTCTGTATAATTATTTGCCTCCACAGATATTGTACTACAGTCTTCAAGACAACTTTGTAAAAAAAATGAAATATTGTATGTGAACTGGCAATTAATTTTATCTATTAACTGTCAACTCTAGAGAATCCATGTTACTTAATGACAATTTTTAAATTTGCTATCTTAGTAGTAATGACATAGGATTATTTAACATTTATTGTACTGGAAAATAAGACTTTAAAATACACACAACCACAAGTCGAGTGGCCCCAATGAAATCTCCCCAATTGTGTTGAGCACAAGTGCTCCGGAGTCATCACCGGTTCCAATGCATCTTTTCTGGTACTTCTACTTCCTAGGAGTAGTCTGAAGCTCATGGAAGACAGCTTTCGTGCACTCAATCTATAAAAAATGTAACCGCTCTGATTCATCCTACTACAGACCTATCGCCATCACCTTGTTGTTGAAAATAATGGAATCCATTAATATCTTGTAGCTGATTTGGTACCTTGTAGAGCACCAGCTGATTAGGGACCGCTTGTACAGCTTCCGTTGGGGTTGCTTAGCTGGTGATCTTCTTGTTAAGCTAACACACCAATTAGCGTAGGCAGTTGAGTCCGAGGGCAGTTTGAACATAGTGAAAGTCTTTGATTGGTTAAGTACAAAGCACTTTTCCGAAGCTTCTCTCTCGAGAAATTATGCAATCCCGAGAAATTATGCAATTGGATCACAAGTTTTCTCACAGGTCAGGGCATTAAAGTCTGACTCTAAGCCTGTGACTGTTAATGTTCCACGGGGCTACTTGCTATCGCCTACTCTGTTTCTTCTGCATATCAACAATATCTTACAAACAAGTAACATTCATTATTATGCAGATGTCAGCACTGGCAGAGTGCCCTATACACCGGCCATAATGTCACGTCCGGTCAACACATCGTCGAGTGTCGGAATAAACTTGCATCTGAAGTAGAATCTTAGTTGAACAAATTTTCGGATGAAGGGTGACTAAATTCAATCCAGTTCAGTCCCAAGGGCAGACCAAATTGGCCTCTAAAAATCTTGGTGTGCAAGTTCAACTTGGAATACTGTTCTCGACTCTGTGCAGTGGCACCCCAGTGCCAGCTCCTTTTACTTGATCGCATCCAGCTCAAACCAGCTTGAATCGTCGATGATCGAGTTCTTTCTGATCAGCTTGACCCACTGGTGCTGCGAAGAGATGATGTGCTTTTGTATATTATTCGTATCGTATCTACTACGGGGAGAGCTTAGAGGAATTGTTCAGACTGATTCCTGAAATACACCATTGCCCATCACGATAAAACTCTTGATATCATCCTTACTACCTGGATGATTGGTGGTCCATCACTGTACACTTTACTAGAGGTTTTCTTCCTTGTGCAACCACTTTGTGGAATGGACTACTGCCACTAATTTTTTCTGGACGGATACTACTTAGGGATCTTCAAGAAAAGAGTGTAGAATTTAAAATTTAGAATTTTAAATGTATTTCAAAAACTTACCTCGTAATATTTGTTTTTATTTCTTCAGAAAATACTTCATTGGTTATTTTTTATTTATGATTAATTGACAAACTGTGACATGTCACAGCCAGTTCAAAATAGCTTACAAAGCACATATTACTTTCAGTTAAGGTTAAGTCTGAGTAAGTTCCTATTGAAATAGTCTTATATTTGGTGCCCAATTTAAACTATGCTTTCAACATTTTTATGAGTAATCTGCACCGACTGACACAATTTTCCAAAAAAAAAAAAAAAAAATTTTCAAATAAATCAGATAGTAGTTCTTGCCAGTTCAGAGACAATATTCTGGTTAAACGAAAAAAGTGGTCATAATATGCAAGGTACACTAACACAAAAATCTCATTTACATGATAAAATCAGATTTAATTTCTGCCTCCTTAATGTCATTATTTATATCAACATTATATAGAGGCTTGTCAATTTATTTCTTTAAATGAAATAAATAAAAATTTGAAAAGAATTATATATAATTTATTAAATGTCGTTATTTATGACAATATTATATAGAGATTTGCCAATTAACTTTCTTCTAAGTAGTCTTATACTGGCAAGCACAAAGTAGAACAACTTCCAATAAGTGATAATCTGATTTCACATTCACATAATTTTATTTGTAATTTCAGTCTGTTTACAAATAAAACTATGTGAATGTGTTATCCATATTGTTTGTTTGCATAATTACTCGTTATTGTTGTTGCTCTTAGTCTTAAATAAAGTAATAGTCTTAAAAAAATTATGCTCATTAAATTTTTCTTCCAATAATATATTACAAGTTACTACACTAGAATTATACATTACATAGGATGGCACTAGGCCAAAAATTCCGGACTCAGAAAAATTATTTGTAGGACTGTAATTATTTGTGTGACCAGAAAAATTATTTGTAGGATGGGTTTGAATCCGCGGTCCTTAGCGTAGCAATTGAATGCTTAGCCACTGCACTATGAAGCCATTAGTAATAACATACTCTAATAAAACACTTTTTTTTTAAATGTTATGTGTTTCTTTTCAGGCCCATATTACAACCCCATGTCAGGTATAGATCCTTTCAAAAGAATAACACTCTTACCTGAATCTATAACAGATGAAGCTAAAATAGCCTTAAAAGCTTTATTTGGTAAAGTAATGGATGAACTTAATGCTCGTGAAGCTAATGAAATTTTAGTCAGGACATGTCCTAAAGATAGTGGTAATGTTTCAAAAATTACAACTAGGTCTGTAAGTGCTTCCAATACATCAGGAGCTAAAAGGTATTCATTTCATTTATATAATTAATTAATAAAACTATTCAGTATTTACTTTACATTAAATGAACAAACTATAATAAATCTATTTTATTTTTTTAGCGCTAACCCTGCCGAAATAAGGCAGATCTTAATTTATCCACCTGGTAAAGGAGGTATACCTATTAATACAGAAGACTACATGTGCCTAGCTCAAGATCAGTTTTTGAATGATGTGATCATAGATTTTTATTTAAAATATTTAGTTCATGATGTATTAACACATGGTCAGAGAGAAAAGACTCATATTTTTAGCACATTTTTCTATAAAAGGCTAACAACCAAACCAAGTAAAGTTAATAAGTGTTCTAATCCACACGAGTGGGACAGCAGTTTGACACCTGCACAAAAGCGGCATGCGAGAGTGAAAACTTGGACAAAAAATGTTAACATTTTTGAAAAAGACTTTATTGTAGTTCCTATTAATGAAAACTGCCATTGGTTTGTGGCGATTATTTGTTTTCCCAGTTTGGATGGTTGTAGAAGTATGATTGATAATAGAACTGTCACTCCTCAAGAAATAAAAAAAAGAGGTATGCTTATCTCTATTTCATTGTTTTATCCAAATTTACCAGCTATATAAATTTAGATTTTAACACAAGTACTTATAATTTTAACAACAGCTTGTGATATCAATCTTTCAAGATTGGTTTTCATTGTGCAAAACAAGGTTATAGTTGATCAGAGGCCATCTTCTCACTTGGTCGAATAGCTATGAAATATTTCGTTAGTAGGTAGCTATCAGGTCCTAGCATAATAGCTATGAACTATCATCTCGACAAAACAAATACATTGTGTGAATATGACCTCAATTGGTTAAGTCGTCCAGAAGTTACATGATCACTAACAGTTGAACTAATAAGGATTAACGGCTTTTTTATCAAGTGACCAGCGTAACAAGATCTATGGGTATATAGTTTAGGGCGGTAACAAAAAATTTAGTGTGAACGGAATAGAAGTCAATGGCACTGGTATTTTGCATTTTTTTAAATTTTACATTAACATATGAAATTATATTCACGAAATTAGTAGTATTTATTGATAGATTAATTTCATAAAAAGTTATTGAAAAATAAAAATAAAATTGTGAAATATCAGTGCTATAGGCTGACTATTGGAGAGGCTATACTGTTCACCTGTTAAACCCGATTTTTTTCTAGACGATAAAAAAATCACCCAGTATAATAATGAACAACTCACGAAACCACTCACTAAGTACGCGGGTTGATGTGGGCTGTCAGTGCCTGCCTGAGGCCCCCTTGCTTGCATGTAATATATATCAGTTGTGCATGCAGGGGTACTAAGAATCTCGTTAGAGATTCGGTTGCCAACTAAGACGACTCGACCTGGCAACATATAACGCACATACCCTGAGTACTGATGAGAAGATCCTGGAGCTGGAAGAAGAGGTAGACAAGTTGGGCTGGGATATTATAGGATTATCTGAGGTTCTAAGAGAGAGGGAGGACACGGTAATCCTCAAATCACTATCACCGGGAGGGCAACCATCTGTGCGAAGGAAGTGTCGGATTTATCGTACACAAGTCTCGTTAACAACATTGTTAAGTTTGTGAGTGTGTCGATAAGGGTTGCATACTTTATACTCAGAATCACCAAACGGTATATGTTGAAGGTCATACAGATTTAAACACCAATGTCTGCACATCCCGATGAGGTGGAGGAAATGTATGAGAATATGTCTATAGCCATGCATTGCTCCAAAACCCACTAATCTGCGTTAATGGGAGACTTGACAAAAAATGAGATCGACTTCATTATGACGACCAGATGACAACTGTTCAGTGATGTCTCAGTGATTTCAAGGATGAAAACTGGCAGTGATCACCGAATGGTGAGAGGCACACTGAACCTAAATGTGAAGTTGGGGAGTCACATCTAATGAAATCAACGCCCCGTCCCCCTCGTGCTCTAATCCAATTCCCTGAAAACTTACAGCTCGAGTTACGAAATCATCATGTGGCAGCATCTTTTCCGGGACACCTGAAATTCGGAGTGAGATAAAAGTTTCTATGGGCAGTTGTACACTTCATCATTGGAGTCACACGCAACTATGAGTAACGATCCAAGAGCAAGTCTTATCCGACACTATTCAGACATTATCCCAGACGTCAGTCTGAGCGAGATGAAGGCCCCATGCGAGGATGAAATTATAGCGGAGGTTCTGAAAGCGGGTGGAAAACTGGTACTTAAATTCTTCAGAAGTTCGTTAATTCCGTCCTTCATGGTGAGACTACTCCGGAGGCAGCAGTGGTGGAGCAGAAGTGCGGTGGTCTTGTTTTTCAAGAAAGGCAAAAACGCTCTCCTGAAGAACTACTTTATTATTTCCCTTGTGAGCCGGGTCTACGTGCTGTTTTCGAGAGTCATTATGAATCGTCTCGCAAGCTGACTCGACGACTTCCAGCCTCCCGAATAAGCCAGTTTTCGTAAAGGCTTTAGTTCCATAGACCACATACATACCCTTCGGCAAATTATACAGAAAACCGAAGAGTACAATCTGCCTCTTTGTCTTGCGTATGTGTACTATGAGAAAGCCTTTGATCCCGTCGAAATTTGGGCGGTGCTACAGTCCCCTCAGCGGTGCCAAGTTGACTGTCGGTATCTCGAAGTGCTGAAATGTTTTTGTAGTAGGGCTATGATGGCTATCCAAGTACAGAACCAGAGTACGAAACCTATCCAACTACAGAGAGGTGCAAGGCAGGGTGACGTTATATCCCTGAAACTCTTCACCCTGCCTGCATTGGAAGACGTTTTCAAGCTACTGGACTGGAAATGATAATATGGTATTAACATCAATGGCGAGTACATCACTCACCTTTGATTTGCTGACGCGGAATCGCTGGTGGGCCTAAGCACTGTGCTAAATGACCTCAATAGTTTCTCCTAACGGATAGGTCTTAAGATGAACTTGGACAAAACAAAGATCATGTGTAACGTCTATGTCACACCTATGCCGGTAGTTGTTGGGAGCACTAAGCTCGTAATTGTTAAGGGGATGTAGTAAGTCAGCTCAAATTCTAATTTCGCCCCCACTTCCCCGCGCGTATCTTATGCTATGTACCGACATGTTTGGAAAAGGATAATCACTAATACCGTAAGTAGATAGGTCGTTAGACACTTATTTCATTAGGTTTATCATATTTATGCCTGTTTCTTAACGCCAAGCCTGTATATTCTGATCGTAAGCGACACAACCTCCCCCTTCAAAGGCCGAAGCGAATCTGACCGGGCGGCTGGAATCACGCTTCAAGAGGCCGATAGTTTAGGTAATTTCTTTTTACAGTGAAAATAATAGTATTTTTAAAAAAGTAAATAACATAAGCACTGCTTTATAGTTAGTTCAGTTAGTATGCAAAGTTTCATGATCTTATTAAAAGTATTTTATGAGTAACAGCGGTTTATTGTTTATTTTGGAGGTAACTATGGATTTTTTTTTATATCGAGAAAATTTTACGGAATCGTGTTTTCGTCCAACATAATCCTTAACATTAATCCTCAACTTTACCATATATTTATTTCAAAATTAATGCTGCAATATTTTCGGCATAACAGAGGATCTTGCTAAGCCATTTGAGGTTATATTTCCCCTTAACGAGTATGTTTACCTGGCACAAATAGTCCGACTAGATAAGTCCAAGTTTGACCGAGAGGTCAGTCGAAGGATACATCTCGGCTGGGCAGTGTTCGGGAAATTACGAAACATCTTCTCTTAGGGTATACCTCAAAACCTGAAAACAAGATTGTAAAACCAGTGCATGTTACCAGTGATGACTTATGAATCTGAGACATGGTACTTCACTGTTGGCCATATGAGGAAGCTTAAGGTCGCTCAGCAAGCTATGGAGAGGGGTATGCTCGGAGTTTCTCTGCATGATAAACTTAGATTAAATAAGGTCTTAAGTCAAAAGATTAATAATGCTATACTCACTCATCTAAACACCTCTTTTATCCTACTTTATCTTCTGTAATAGTTTTAAACCTACCTTAAGATTAATCTTTAGTTAATCATAACCATAAGGGTTTTTCAACAATTTTGATGGATATTTTTCTTTTAAATTGAACTTATTTCTCATTTAATTTCAGAACGACGGTCTTCGATACAAATAGGCAATACGACCATCACCCCTTTAACAAAGCAAGAACAGCTTACATTAAGTTGTGACTCGGATAATCTTAGTGAGAGGGATGAAGCTGAAGCAGATGTATGTGTTACATTATCGAAATATAGCATAATATAGAACATGTAATAATAGAAAACTTCGTAAAGCGTATTTTGCCAGTTAGCTTCGCAAATTAAAACAAAAATCCTTTTATATATATGTAGGATAGAGTGACAAACGAGCACACAGTCTACCTGATGGTAAGTGGTTGCTGTGGCCCATAGGCATCTACATGTATCCTCGATTACAAAACAAAATGCAGATGCGTTGTCACCCGTGAGGACTAAGATGGAATGCCTCGTTTCCAGTAAAAAGGGTCTCCGGTTCTCTACACTCACTATACGAAACACAGCAGCATTAAGCTACTATTTCACGCTGGTATTCTGTGAAAGCGTGGTCCTTCCCGAGTAGAGCTGTCCCATTCGTGGTACAACTACTACTAATACAACTGCAGCATGGCTCTACCACGTAAAAATCCTCCTGCACATTGGCTAGTAATACGAAATAGTTATAGTGATAATATTTGCTTTCGTTTTATATTAAAAAGGAAGGACTGTGTGTGTTTTTGATTTTTACTTCGATAACTGAACTAATGGACTGTATGTTTAAACTATCTGAGACTGACTAACTAGGGATGTGTGTAACGAGGAACGTGTCGCGTTGTGGTGTGAGGCGTGCGGAATAACCATAGAATACTATAATACACAATAGAATGGCTGTCAACCTTATTTTGTACTGAGGTTCGGTGTCACTGGGAGCACACATACAAGCAATTACGTCGTATTGTCAGTTAATCACTACTACAAACCCGATTCGCTGTGTTGACTAATGGACTTTAATACATATTTATTTGTAAATAGCGTGCAATTTGACATTTTCTAAATAATTTGCATGCAAAATTTGGAAACAATTGTAATGTCAAAACACATCTCGTGTTGACATTTATACATGTGAATTGACGTCTTGTGGCATTTTAGTGGCTACACGGGCTCCACCCACACCCCCGTTCTATTATGTATGTATTATAGTATTCTATGGGAATAACGGTGTGGCAGCTTCACTCGCGGTCCGTAACATATATATAGCCTGTTTAAAAATAAGAATTAATATTTCAATAATAATTAGGATTATGTTTGAATGAAAAAAAAAGGTAAATTGTTTTAATCCACCTATGAAAAATATTATTTGTTACAGGAAAGTGATTTAGATATGCAATGCGATTCAGATGAGGAAGATGTTGAGAGAAATGAAAAAATAGTTGAACCTCAACCTATAGGCAAAAATGAACCTATTAAACAGTGAGTAGTGAATGAAAATAATTATGTCATATTTTTCGTAAGTACTTACTAATTTATTAAACTTTTTGCAGACCTTGTATATTAATTTTCGATTCATTAGCTGGTGCCTCTAGATCTAGAGTGGTTGCAACTCTGCGTGACTACCTCACATGTGAATATCAAGCTAAAGTAAGTTCAAGTAGAATGTGTGAATTTATTTATTTAGTTTCAACTATATTCTCATAGTCTTTTTTTTAGATGTGTAAAAGTAAAGTATATAACAAAGACAATATGAAAGGAAGCTGTCCAAAAATACCTCAACAAAATAATTTTACTGACTGTGGATTATACTTGTTGCAATATGTAGAACAATTTTTTAAGGTTTGTAATGCTTGTTCAATTATTTTTGATATAAAATATGTGTAACATATAATCTAATGACAAATTTACTTTTAGGACCCTATTTTGGATTATTCTTTACCTATAAAGCAGCTGGCTCACTGGTTTGATGAAATTATTGTAACAAGGAAGCGAGAAGATATCTCGATCCTCTTAAAATCATTGATGGACAGATATAATCCAGAATCACATTTGAGTTTACCAGATATAACATTCCCTACATTAAATGGTACATCCTATACCTGTTATAAAACAATTTAATTAAATAATTTTATAAATAATAAAACTAACAAATCCCTGTTTTATAGGTAAACTGATAGAATCAGAAGAACAACCAGATGAACCTTCTGATGGTGATAAAGCAAATTCTAGCAAAATGCTAAAAGGAGACGGAAAGGATTCCGAAGGACCAACACTCACCTTTGTTAAACAAATGCCAACTGGTGATATATTAGTGAAACGCAATTTTTCAGATTCATCTGACACAATCCATTTAAGAAAAACTATAAGGTTGTCTAGTGATTCTGAAAATAGATCTGTTGTTTCAATAAAACAAGAATTCATAAAGAAAGTTGAAAATGAAAATCAAATTCTTATACCTATTAAGTTACATACAAGTGATTTGGTTAAAGACATTCAAAACACATTAATAGTTAATAAAAGTAAAACTATGAGTGATAAAAAACATGGTGTACATAATCAGAATGTATCTAGTGTGAACTGCATTCGTCAGAATGTAAGTGAAAGTGACAGTAACTCGTTTCTTAAAGCAAGAAGGATAAACAAACTTGAAGATGTAGTGAATGAATCAAACAAAAAGTTTAAACGGAATGAATGTTAATGAACTGTTGACTGTCCATTTATCCCTTATATTAAATTATTATTAATTTAATAAAATGTATAGTTGTTTCAGGGACTTGTAAATATTAGTTAATGCTATTTACAACATGTATTTAATACTGTATCTGTTTTATAAAGATGATGTAAAGGATAAAATTTAAATTGTGTATTATAATAGCTTCCATTAAAACAATGATAGTAAGTTAAATTAGCTATGTGAGTTTTTATTCGTTTTTTACACTTTTTTAGTTACTTTCTGATGAGCTCTTAGGAAGAAAATAAACTGAAAATGAACCTTAATATAATCTTTAACTAGTGACCACTCTTAAAATGTGATACAAACATTATTAGTTTCTATTTTTTTGTATAGTGAAAAACCTATATTTAAAGAAAAAAGTATAACCATAGGATCTCTAGAGCGCGGCGGAGGTTAAATTACTGACGTAATTCGAAAACTTATTTGCATATTAAATGTGCTATTTTTCGAATTCGGATATTGATTACCTACGTTCCTGGCTGAATTTGTTTTCATTATAATTAAAGAAAAAGTGTAAACGTTCTTGTATTTTGCATAAATTTCGGGACACTGAGTTTTCTCCGTATTTATTTTGTATTAAAAAAACGATATTTTAAAACGTTTTTACGCTAAACGCGTAGCTTTACAGTAGTCGCATATGATGTGTAACAGCTAGCATCTAACATCTAGGGTAATAAGAAGCAACATTTATATTTAAAAAAAAAACTATTTTTAAATCAAAATTAAAAATATCAATTAAGCAGCGACAGAAATTATCCTCAAAATTTATAAAATTAAAGTATTACTGAAATATTTATTCGAATAATTATTCATTTTTACAACTAATTACTATAGTTCGTGACAAATCGATTGAAAAAATCTGACATTGACCATGTAGTACTTTATTTATAATTATTTTTTATAATGATTGATATAATATATATTTATTAACTATTATTAAAAATATGTAAAAGGTCGCTGTTGAAGAAAAATCATCTATTGTTATAAAGTATCTACTTTATTAACAACAAAAAGCATTAATTTATAAAGATTCGAGTGATAACGACACCGAATAAGTACATACTTATTCAAAAGGTAAAACTTTATTTTTATTCGGTGCATGCGGGCCGGCCCAAAAAAAGTGACGAATCTCTGGCTGCCATTATCACGTTTCTTTTAGAACGAACTGACGTAACGCGCGTTTTGTTTATTATAAAGGGATGAATTTGCAATAGCTCAATATAGCTATTATATTGCTTCAAATATATTTTTTTAATATGACACTTATTAAATGAATTGCTGTGTTACTTGCCATAAATTGAAATATAAAATATAACACATTTTTCACGATGTACCGTAAGATTTTACGATGTTTATAGGAACCACAGACAATTTAAGAAACAAAAAACAAAACATGTGCTCATCTAGAAGTGTGAATAATATCAATATTTAAATATTGTTATCACATCTAAATTAAGATCTTGTAAGTTACGCCTTTTGACACTCTGCTCATATCTGAGGTAATCGTCCGTTTTTCTCAATCGATTCGGCACGAACTATATATAATATATTGTTACACATAGAAACACATTATGATTTTTTTAAAAGCTTTTAATGGCCTTCGGCCAAACAAATAATTACAAACTTAAAAAAAGCTATCAAAAATTAAAGATTTGAAACAATAACAATCGTTAGGTATTCGAGCAGGGCCTTCGCACTCCGTGATGGCCTATGAAAAAATAAAGGCAGTGTCGCCAGCTGCCCTCCTTATTAGCCCGCAGCGGCGCTGCCACGCCTGATTCTGACCCTCTTCTAACACGGCCTCCTGACGGGGCTGCGTGCTCGAACGCCCTCAGCAGGAACTCGTGGATGAGTCAGCAACACTCACCGTATCCAGCGGCTGTTCGGCGTCACCATCGTCGATCTCTGAGAACAGTTGATTTAAATTCATATAGTTCATAAAAGCGTCAGATTATGTACCAATTAGCCAAACAAGTCAACATGAACAGTAATCAACGCTACACACCAGCATTTCAAGTCACGTAGATTTTACACAGGTTTGTTCCCACATAATCGGTTATGTGGGAACAAACCTGTGTAAAATCTATGTGACTTGGAATACCCCGCACATACTCGCGTATGCCAACAAGATTGACACACCCGAGTATTTTATTTTATTTTAAAAACGTAAACGACCCCCTCTTACTTCATTATACATAAGTCGTTACAATTACAAATCAAACCTTTATTTGATAAATATTCCAAGACATATTATTTAACCATTAATCCATTTAAAAAAAACTCGACACATTTCTTTCACCCAACAAGCTCTACAATAACATGCCTCACTTAAGTGACCCGAGCGCTGGACAAAATAAGGTAAAGTTTATGCTTCAATTAAGAGAATACTGCAAGTCAAGTGGCTTATGTAATAATTTATGTTCTAGTTGGCTCACATTGTTATCACAAATTTTTTACTTCAAAATTTTTTCCTTAAACTTTTGACAGGCACGAATTTTTTGATTTTTGCTATCATTCAAGAAAATTTTTAAATTATTTTTTGCGCGGTCTATTGCAGTACCTGGATGACCGAGCGTTCCTCGTTTTTTTTTTTAATTTAGATACAAATTACATACTGATGAAATATTAATAATATTTTTTGATCTTATTGACAATAGAAAAAACTGAACTGGTTATTTGAATAAAAAATCATGAGTGCAATTTTATATAATTAATTGAATGAGTGCAATTATATATATAATAGTTTAATTAAAATTTTCGTATTTTTAAAAAATACTATAAAATACTACAAAAAGGGCTCGAAATTATAGATTTTCTTACAAAAGAAGGGAACTTATAAAAAAAGGGAAAAAAAGTCGGACCGAAGGTAGGACCCGAACCCAGGCATTAACGATTTCGCGACCGCTTGATATGCATTTGAGCTATTACGATTGTTAATACAGTGTCAAAACTTACCTTCTTATATTGTAGCAGTTTTTCATTGCCTGAAAACACGGACAAAAAGACATTTTATAAAAATAAATCCTAGCTAGATCGATTTATTGCCCCCGAAATTCTCTGGACACTAAATTTTGTGAAAATCGTTGGAACCGTTTCCGAGTTTCTAATTATATGTTTATATATATACAAGAATTGCTAGTTTAAAGGTATTGGGTGGATTCTTTATAATACAATAGACCACCCTTTTTTACATAAGGAAATTTCTACGCACACCTATTTCGCAGAGAAAGGACAGGTTATATTGGACTTACACCGATTAAAACCCCATCATTTACGAATTATTCGGCTCAAACGGGGCAGGCGCCTTGCCTTACTTTATATATATAAATCCTTGCCTTATATAAATATATATAAATCACGTGTCACGTTGTTTGTCCGCGATGGACTCCGAAACTACTTAACCGCTTTTAATCAAATTTGCACACCGTGTGCAGTTTGGTCCCACTTGAGAGATAGGATAGTGTTTTTTGCCCATGAGTGACCCACAATTTTTTTTGCAATTTTAAGGATTTTTAATAAGACATGTGACAGGGTTGTCAAAAAGGGCAGAAGAACGTCTGGCCTATATATATCAGTGTGGCCTATAAAGCTTCCATTACGCAAAGCCGGGCATGCCTTATTAAACCTGAATCAATCAATAATATCAACTAATAAAATAACTCGTAAAATGTTTCAAGCTATTTCAAATTTCCCGCGCACTCCTCTGTTCGACACATGTCGACCAATGACCTCGTATTGCCTTAGCGATACTGCTACTGTCATAAAAAATGAGTTTTTAATAGAGCTAATAGTTGTCTCCCTCGCTCGCGTGAAATTGGCAAAAAAAAAAATTTTTATAGAGATTTAAAGCCAGGCTTTTGGGAATAAATTTGTTAAAAGCGTAGGCGCGCGGGCAATACGTTTGCAAGTTCATTTCACTTTTCAATGTTTATTTACTCTGTGTGCTTATCTTAAGCGATTTAATATTACGAGTTCAAAATTAATGCTAGATTTTAATGAAAATGGAGGATAATAGTGTTCCTTGTGATGAATTGAAGTGTGTTAAAGTGATAATTGGAGAGGAAAACAGTTATTGGTACAATTAAAACGTTCACCAACATTTTACGTGGACGTAATTAAATCTCCATAAGAAAGCGAGACGATTCCACTTATCTTATCTCTTATCCATTAGAATGTAAATAATTTTTATTTTTTTAAATTTTGTACATTGTACTTTGTTCGTGTTTTACTTTTTTTTATTGTATTGGATGTAAATATTTTTTTTTCTTTCGCTTAAACAAATCCAAACGGCTTTCTTCAAAGCCACCGAAGCTATGTAATTGCTGATATGTAATACAATCTATCTAGCAGTGGTATGACTTCTGTGTGCTTTGTTAAACACGTCCTTGACAGCACTGAATATGAAACTGAAGCGTAGAGACAGATCAAGATTGGTGTATTTTTATAAAACTGCTAAAAACAACAATCTATATTTTTATCAATTTATATCTTGGGCTTGCCCTAGCTTGGAGCTCTAGCTTCGTCACTGATATATATATATATATATATATATATATATATATATATATATATATATATATATATATATATATATATACTAAGAATTGCTCGTTTAAATGTATAGGATATTTATGCTTAATCTTCTCAATACTATCGGCAATAAAATGACGTTTATGTAGTGCATCTGGTAAAGCATAATATGCATCAAATTTTTTTTGCCTATGTTCCTCCAAAATGAAAGTAAAGTTTTGTTGGGTTAGCTAGACGTTTACGTGTGTTCTTTTTCGGTAAAACTTGCTCTGTCTGTGATTCAACCGTTTGGATTAATTGAACCGATGGATTTTCAGCTTGAGATGGCTCAGAATCAGAATCACTTTGTGATAAATTAAAATCTTTACTAATATTGAAATTTGGATCAGCTACGCTGTCATCAGAAGAATAATCTTTACTATAAGAAGACGAGCTGGACGAAGAACTTGTGGAATCAGAGTCACTGCTATCTGATGAATCTAAAATAAAATGTCTGACTAAGATACACTTGGTTCTCCTACAAAAACAAAAAAATTGATAGAAATCTTACTAATTTTCTGAAGTTGCTGCATATCTGAAGTGTTAGTTTTCGGTCTTTTTCTGTAAACCTGAAAAATATTAAGTGAAATAAGTACCTAAATAAAATAAAATCTCATTAACATCCACTTAGTAATTTAAAACATACCTAAATTTTGTCTAATTACATATTGTGAGTTATTTTCATGTAGTATTTCTATCGATTTCAATTCAGAATCAGCAATACGAGGGCGGCACTGAAAATTTCGGGAATCAAGGAAGTGACACAATATTACTATTTAAAAATGTATTTATTGCTTATCGAAGTATTCTCCGCGAAATTTGACACATTTTTCCATACGATGGAACCAATCATTGAAGCAACCATTCCATTCGGAAGTTGGGGTCTCCAAAATGGCCGTTTTGTAGGCGTCCACAGCTTCTTCAGGTGATGAAAATCTCTATCCACGCAATTTATTCTTTTAGGGAAAGTATAGAAATTATTAGGGCTTAGGTCGGGGCTGTACGGCGGATGGTCTAATAATTCTATGTTTTCTTGCTCTAAAAACTCTTTTGTTCTGTGTGCGGTGTGAGAACTCGCATTGTCGTGATGGAGGATGATACGGCGGTTGCAGTTCTCTTTACGGAGTTCAGAAACGACCTGTGACAAACAAATGCTAGCATACCATTCTGCATTAACCGTTTTTTGTCCCTCAAGAGGAATAGTCGTAACATGGCCGGTTTTAGAGACAACGTGGCCACCATTTTTTGGTAATACTCCGTGAACGAACACTTTTTGTTGGCTTTAACTCATTTTCGAACACTCAAACTCGTGATTGGTTTTTTGTTTCGGGTTTGTACGCTTATATCCAGGATTCGTCACCTAATACGATGTATTATACAGCATTTGAGGATCCTGCGTGGAATCTTTCGAGAGTTCTGATGCACCAAGTAAAGAGAGCCGCTTTTTGCTCTTCACAGAGCAAATGCGGTATCCATCGGGAAAACAACTTTTTTACACCTAATTGTTCATGCAAGATTATTTGTATTTGACTCATGCCAATGTCTAAAGTTGCCTGTATTTCCTCAATCAACTAACGCACAGCATCAACGTTTTCTTGGGTGACTGCAGTTTTTGGACGATCTTGACGGGGATCATCACTGAGCTTGACACGTCCACGTTGTAATTCAGCAAAATAGCGATAAATTGTCGTTTTGGATGGGGCTTCGTCACCAAATGCAGAAATCATCCGGTTAACACACTGTTTTTGTGTTAAACCACTTCGAAAGTCATAATAAATCATCGCTCTTGAATTTTCTCGAGTCAATTCCATTTTCAACAAGTTTGAAAAAACCTTGTGACAAGACCGAGAATCTTTTTTTAAATAAATAAATGGTATTCGATTTTTAAAACCAAGGAGTTTTCAATTAAAAAGATTTTAATATGACAGGAACAGTGGAAATATTCCATTCCTGATACTTTTAGTGCAGCCTAGTAGGCGGATAACTTACTTCTTTCTGATTATATTTGTTTTCAAGCTCTCTAAAAATTTACTTCTTTGTGTCATTTCAAAAGCGTTTAATTTAATCTGAATAAAGAAAGAAAATATTTTAAAACATACAATTAGGGGCCGGCACCGGATGGTCAGACGTGACGGCTAGCTGTTGCGGCTAACTCTTTGTATACAAGGAAATGCTTGCAAAACGAGACAGCAGCTACGGCTAGCATAGGCGGCAAGCCGTTGCTCGCCCCCGACCGTCCGTTGCAGTGCCAGTTATTTAAACGTATCCAAACGAGCTGAAACAAGTCACTGTGTGTTTCAGAATCACAGTGATATTTACTGCCAATATTAACGAAAATCAAAATAATCTTACATTTATTAATTAAAAAGCAAACGGGTTGGCTATAGACATTCGGTACTTGATTTTGATAATGTTTTTAGTCTTTTCAGCCCCAAGCAAGGGCGAAGGGGCTGCACTACCCGCAGTGCCGAAGCCGTTGCAGAAGTAACTTTGCGTCAACATTCCTGTATAAAAAAGTGAGGTTATGATTTTACAAAAAAAATATTAACTACTCATAAACTATACATTTCCGCAACCGGGGATGGGTAGAGGGGGCTTCCCATGACCCTTCCCTCCCCTCTCCCCCCTCCCAACACCGTACGACCGTTGTAATAGTAACTTTGTGTCAATATTCCCGTATAAAAAGTGAGGTTATAATTTTACAAAAAAAATTATTACTCATAAACTATACATTTCCGCAACGGGGCAAGGGTAGGGGGGGGCTTCTCATGACCCCTCCCCTTCCCCTCCCAACAGCGTACGCGAGTACCGGACGTCTATAAATTTAACCAAGCAAACATTTTCGGGACAATTTTAAATTAAAACATAACTTTTCACAAAAAGATATCCGAAATAGTTTACAATTTAGAATAAACATAGTTTCAATTATATAATTCAATAAAAAGATCGGGATAGTATTATTCATATTTTATCACAAAAACTATACAATTACAAAGTTATACAATTTTAAAGGTAGAATTGATTCAAACTTTGTACACATTTGTAGTAATAAGTGTATAATTTTGAGATTGTATAATACAAATGAAATAAAATGCTTACCCTGGGGTCAAAGTTTCGTTTTTGTACACTTTTGAAAAGACACAACGCGTGCACTACTCAAATTGTTGAACGTAACCAAAACCAACTAAAACTTTATACAAAGGTACTCTGTGACTAAAACTATATAGGTACGGAAATAGATATGAATCTCTAACGTAAAAATTGACCGCGACAACAGCGCAGCCTGTAAGCTAGTTTATTAACTACCACTTGAATATACAAACTATAGATATTATATATATATATATATATATATATATATATATATATATATATATATATATATATATATATATATATATAATTCTTCTTCTACCCAGCGTTTATCCCGGTTGCTCATCCCGCCTAACGCGGGAGAACCCAGGTTCCGCTCCCACCTCCTACACTTTGCCCGGTCTTCGGCGTCCCTCGCAACTAGGCCATTGGCGCGCATGTCATCCTGCACGACATCAAGCCAGCGTTTCTTGGTCCGTCCTCTACTCCTGGTACCAGGTCCTGGTCCAGGCATTTGTTTCCCACGTAGCTTGCCGGTCGTCGTAAGACGTGGCCGTACCAGCTGAGGCGACTTTCCTGCAGCTTGTCAGCAATGTCACGGACATGGAGGCTGCCGCGGATGTATGTATTCCGTACATGGTCTTTCCGCGTGACGCCACACATCCACCGCAGCATGTTCATCTCCGTGACATGCAACAACTACCGGTTTCGCTCCAGCACCGGCCACGCCCCACTGCCGTACGTAAGGACAGGCCTTATGATGGTCTTATAGACCTGTCCCTTCAGCTTGACCGGCATTTTGGGGTCACAAATGACACCCGTCACCTCGCGCCATTTCGCCCAGGACCGTTCGCTCGACGGTGTCGTCGCCTATACGGAGAGACGTCAGATCTGTGCTGTTGCAGGCCATATACTCCGTCTTCGCCACGTTTAGTTTCACCCGCCGTTCTCAAGCGCCTCCCTCCATACGTGCACGCGTCTGGTGAGCCGTCCTTTGTCCCCATCTACCAGTGCGATATCATCAGCGTACATAAGCAGCCAAGGCTGCGGTAGTTTCTGTACGCTGGCTGACAGTTCCTCTAATATCACACTGAAGAGATAGGGACTTAAGACGGAGCACTGATGCACGCCTACGGTTATGGGGAAGGGGGTGGTATCACCAACAGCGGTCCTGACTATTGAATCGGAGTTGCGGTACATGTCACGTACGATTTCCACGTAGGTCTCTGGTACCAACTTCGACCGCAACGCCCACCAGATCATCTCCCTAGGAACACAGGCAAGTATGTATAACAAAAAAAAAAAAAAAAAAAAAAAAAAAAAAAAAAAAAAAAAAAAAAAAAAAAAAAACACCGGGGGGGGAAAACAAGATATATATATATATATATATATATATATATATATATATATATATATATATATATACCCCTATACTACTCCTTTCATATTGTTATTTTTATTAAGTATTTTGTCGATTTCTAAATAATAAAAACACTCTTTCTTACTTAGAAATCGGCATAAATACTTTCGATAAATTGAAGTACTTGGGCAAAAAGAAAGATTTTCAGTATTGTTAACATATTTATTTCACAATTTTCAACAAGATGATATTTTGAAAATAAAATAACACCAAAACGTGAGCTGTTATAAAATTCCATGTTGCCTGCACATAATGTAGAAAGTAACTTACTACAAACCATCATAAAAATTACAGGGTTGAAATTAACATATTATTTTATAAGTCTTTTATCGTATTTGTCACTGCACCAATTACAATATTTACCTTAAAGCACATTCTTGAGCACTACGTTTTGTGCTATACAAAAGCAATTACGATAAAACACTAAAAATACGAAATAACAAGAAATAAGCACACGCACAATTGAGCGGACATATTTCTTAAATAATTTTTCAGCTTTTCAATTTTTTTTGGAGTTTCTAAGCCTTAAATTTGGCCTAGTATCTAGGCCATAAATGGCCTACTATCTAGACCTTCAGGCCAAATTTTTCACTTTTCAATTTGATTCAGTGTTGCCTAATGAAACAAATTATAAACTTTTATTTCTTACTATTACTCCTTATAATATAAACCTCACGTATGAAGCAAATATAAACTAACTTGAATTTAGAAATATGAAGGGATTTCTTATTAATTATTATTTTGGGAGAAAAAATTAATTAATTTAGTAACACCAATATGTCTTTTCTTCACCGCTGCATTGGAAGACGTTTTCAAACGGGCTGGAAAGGATACGGTATTAACATCAATGGCGAGTACATCACTCACACTCACATCTTTGATTTGCCGACGATATAGTCCTTATGGCAAAATCGCTGGAGGACCTAAGCACTATGCTCAGTAACCTCAATAATGTCTCCCAACGGATAGTTCTTAAGATGAACATGGACAAAACGAAGATCATGTGTAACGTCCATGTCATACCTATGCCGGTAGTTGTTTGGGAACACTAAGCTCGAAGTTGTTGAAGAGTATGTTTACCTGGGACAAATAGTCTCACTAGGTAAGTCCAACTTCGGCCGAGAGGTCACTCGACGGATTCAACTCGGCTGGGCAGCGTTCGGGAAATTACGACATGTCTTTTCGTCAGGTATACCTCAAAATCTGAAAACGAAACTGTACAACCAGTGCGTTTTGCCAGTGATGACCTACGGAACTGAGAAGTGGTCCTTCAGTGCTGACCGTATGAGGACGCTCAAAGTCACTCAGCGAGCCATGGAGAGGGCTATGCTCGGGGTTTCTCTGCGTGATAAGCTTAGAAATGACGATATCTGCAGTAGAACCAGAGTGAACGACATAGAACAACGGATTAGTAAGCTGAAGTGAAAATGTGCCGGCCATATATCTCGAAGAACCGACAACTGATGGGGGAAAAATGTTCTCATCAACAATCCCCGAGTGACGACCTGGTAAGACATGCAGGAAGTCGATGTATGCAGGCGGCTCAGGTTCGTGCTTTGTGGCATACCTTGTGCAATGATGGTGATAATGATGATGATGATATTTTTATGTAGTTTATAAATACAATAACATATAACAATAACTTGCTTAATAGAATATAATTTCCTTTTTAGTATTTCCTTTATACATATCGTTAGAATTATTATTAATAATGCTTAATTTTTTATGGTGGCCACACTATCTTGATTGATTTACATAAAGTAGCTAAAAATGCAAGATGCCAGAGCAGCTATAAATTAAAAAGTATTAAGTGTTTCATAAAGCAATTTCCAGATGGCGGTAGTTTAACCATCAATCAAAGAGTATAGTAAATATGTAAGAGCATCGAAGGAAATACATCAATGAAATTTCTTAGAAGATACAATAGCATTTCCGTATATACACTTTTATCTATGACTACAACTTACGTTGTATTCGTGCGAAACAAGTTCTCACTTCGGTCAATTCAAAACTAACCAATGCGCTATTTAGCGAGTGTTTGCTGAACTACGCTCTTTTGTCAATATTTATTATAGGAGAAAAATACTGGTGCTACCAAACGTTTTCGCATATTAACTCAATTCCGAATATTTTTGGAGATTGTATACTTTTAATGAGAAAAGGCGATATCTGGTTTTGACGGTTATTCGATTCAGTTCGCAAAAGCATTTTATTGTAATAATATAAATGTCAATGTTAAAACTATTTTTTTTGTGGTGATGGCTTGTTATTTAAAACATATTAAGTTCCTCCACTTTTTGTTTTAGGTTCTTAGAGCCTTTTATTTCTGGTATTTATGTTTAACCATGAAAAATTACACCTCTAGAATACCCGTAGCCTCTGCACTAAGCCGCGGACAAACCGACAGACTGTTGGACTTGGCGAAACTATAAGCGTTCCTTGTGGTGTTACTACGGAACCCTCTTGCTACAGTGACTAACTAAAAAGATGATTTTAATTGTTCGAGTCCATTTTGCTAATACTTTTGAGTTCTTAGGGAAACTATCGATATGGTAGCATCGAAATTAATTTGTCCGTCTTAAAGTCATAACTTTTTATATGTATGATGTATTTAACCTACATGTGTACGTAAAATGTAAGGGTTAGAGATTTAGATTTGAGTGTGCCATATTGACACAAAATTTTATTGAGTGGGTGTACAGTACTTACTGCCTGTGTAGTGTTTCGCTGGAACGACTAAAGAAGATGAATGCTGAGAATAAACGCGAATGGCGATGTTTGGAATGCAAAAGTAAGTAACCAAATTAGATAATACTAACAAGCCATGTCTAAACCACAGAAATCGTAATAATAAGACAATAGAAGTCGCATAGACGCGTGACCTTGTCGCCGCTATAATATGTTATTATAACGAACATCATTCACCATTTTATTACTTTTTGTATTGACAATTAATATTACTGCTTTTTTTCTACCGTAATACGCGACGCACGTGACGTTGACAAACTCGCCAAGCAATGTAATGTGAAAGTGTGAAACATTAGATATCATTGTGCATTGCGTATATTTATAACTCGGCCGCAGGTAGCGACATCGGTTTTGGAAGTAATCTTTTAGCTTACTCTTGGGTTTTAACTTTAACGCCTTCAGCGCTTCTTGAGTAATCCCTGGTTGGCCATTGATGGCAATGTACCACTTAGTCAATGTCAGTGGTGCAGGAAAACATGTTAGAAAAGTTTTACGATAGGATTTTTGTTAATAATTAAGTGTTAGGTCGAAACACCTTAACCGTGGGCAATATTTAGTTCTGGATAGTTTTCCAGATTTACTTTTAAGTAATTCTCTCTTTGAAATTTCGCTTTCTTCGATTCCTATCTTTTCTAAGACCTGTTTGTTTTCTTTATTTATCAAAGATGTCTCTGCCAACAAATCTAGTATTTCTCCTAAACTTATAAGTTTTTTCTTTTTTTTCCTTGGTGTATAGCCTGTTCACTTAGATACGGTCACTTTTGTACCGCACCGTCTCGGCCCAGGCTGCATTTTGTCAAAGGCACCGCGCGCCACGACAGTAAATGTCGTGTTGTAAAGCACCCGAAACGTCGGGAATCAAAAAGTCAAAATTAAACGCGATAAAATCCGTAAAACTAGTTTCATTTGATGTATAGCGTTTGCGTAAATATCATAAGTCATTATTGTAAAAACTTATCGAAATTCCAAAATTGTTTGAAGAAGAATAATATTGTTGTCGAGAGTATTAATAAAAATACTTAATCTATTGACATATTTACAGCTAGACATTACCTCCCACAAGTTTAAGGTTGATACAGCAGTATCGGCTAAACTTTTTTTTATTGAAAGCTTGGATTATAAATTATATGATTTTTGAAAATGTTCGGAGCAAATGGTGCTGGAACGTTAAGGTATCCAAGATTCACGTTTTCTACAAGCTGCATACCAAGTCTGCCGCCTAAGACTATCTCTTGAAAATATGTAAAATCAAATTAATAATAAAAAAAAATACTGCTTCGTGTAATACTTCATTATAAAATGTAAACAAAAACAAAAAACCGGTTCGACAGACAAACCCACGTTTTTATCTGTGACACTTAGGGGGGAGAAAACTAGGAAAATCAAAGAAAACTAAACTAAACATAGTGTACCTATATGTGTTATGTAAATTAATGCAATACGAAAAGTTTTATGGAACCATTTTTAATGGTCGGGCCACACTAACGAGAAATGCCCTTAATTATCGCGTTGATGGACGTTGAACGTAGGTGTGGCCACGAATTAACGCGATAATTTGACAACGGCATTAACAATGCCGTTTCCCGTTTGGCGATAACTCGAGTGGCGGTACATCAAAGGATTGGACGTTTGTCTCATTGTGCACGGTGAGAACAACGGGGTTGCTCGTATGTCTGGGATGGAGTGGAGTAATGAAAAAGTCACAACATTTCTCGAGATCCTACAAACAGAGCCTTGTTTGTGGGATCCGAAACTTAAAAGTTTTAAAATCGTACATCGCAAAATGATGCTTGGCGCCGAATTATGCAACGAATAGCGAGTGGTGGAGCGACGAGCCTAAGGTTACCGAAGTCCAATTCCCCGGTCGAGCCTTAAGCCTATTACGCGAGATGTTAAACCCAAATGGACTGTATATGCGAAATGCTTCTTCGTTTACACAAAATGGCGACTATAGCACGCAGTTTCCCATACAATGCACTCGCTCTTCCCTAAAACGAACTATTGTTTGCCAAAATCTATGAAAGGAATGCTGCTTGATTAGGAGAAAATGAAAATTGGAGCGGATTAACTATTAAACACAATTATATCAAGCAGG